TTTTTTTTTTTTTTTTTTTTTTTTTTTTTTTTTGAGGCGGAGTTTCGCTCTGTCGCCCAGGCTGGAGTGCAGTGGCCGGATCTCAGCTCACTGCAAGCTCCGCCTCCCGGGTTCACGCCATTCTCCTGCCTCAGCCTCCCGAGTAGCTGGGACTACAGGCGCCCGCCACCTCGCCCGGCTAGATTTTTGTATTTTTTAGTAGAGACGGGGTTTCACCGGGTTAGCCAGGATGGTCTTGATCTCCTGACCTCGTGATCCGCCCGTCTCGGCCTCCCAAAGTGCTGGGATTACAGGCTTGAGCCACCGCGCCCGGCCAACTTTTGAGTTCTTAAACATTATCTGACCTACTACGCATTTACTACATGCTTCATATAGCATATCATACAAGATGCTATTAGCAGTACACTACATTTTACTATCAGTTCATTATAATGTAACCTGAATGAAAAAGTAGGCAGATGCTAAACGGTTTGAAACACTTATTACCTATAAAGGTAATATCTTGCTTTATTAAGAACACAACAAAAATAATGTAAGAAATTAATCTGAAATCATTCAGGCCCATAGTTTCAGAGATGTAAATGCTTTCCTAAGGATCCTGCTATGAATTGGTCCAAGTTTTAGGTCTCTCTGAAAGCACTGAAGACACAGGGGAGGGGGGCATCACCAACATCAGTAGTATACCATTTAAGAACACCTCAGATGCTTATCTGTCCAAAGAAACAAAGGAAAATGCAAACTTCCTCAAAAAGAAGAATGATGTATCCAAAATTAATCTGATGGAGACACATGGCACACATCCCTGCAAAACTAGCTGGCTGGCTCTATACATTTTTCACTCTGAGCTCCCATAGACTATTCAAAAGTAACCAAAACCAAAAGTGAACCTGCAGTTTGCAACTGCTGTAGCAATGTGCCTGTCTTAAAACTGAAAGTTATTCTATGTAAAGCATTTTAAAAAATCAGATAATCTCATGGCTTGTCACATTCAAAAGGCCATCAATGAACAATTCCTTATATCCTTACAGTCTGTTCAATGATCTGATCAGCAATCAGAATAATTTAGATGAAGTGCATTACTGCTATAAGTAAAATAAAGTCAGCCTTTGGACCACTCTAGATTCCAAGCAAAGAATTTTTACTGTCCAAGTTTTCATTGTTTGATTTCAATGAGCTAGTGCATACAGGCAGCTTGCCCACATGCTCAACTCTTGCACACGTTTCCACTTTCTTAAAGTGATCCAAGATCAGTCTGTCTTCAGTCATCCACTACTCAAAAGAGCCCTTGTTTGTGGGAAGGAGGAGGAAGGAAGAAATCAGGGACTGATGACTGCCTTGTAGGAAACAGCTGCCAAGATAGGAAAACCTCTGTTAGTGAAGGGAAAAAGGAGGAGGAAACCACACAATCAAGACCTCTATTGTGGTCTCTGGCCAGGAAAGAATACCTCATGAAAATTTTTATATACTAAAAATTCAGTGTATTCTGACGGTTTGAGAATGTGAAACACAATTTTAAAAGTACGTATCATTCAATTATGAGACAGTGTAAGTGGTTGTTTCAGACAAATGGAAATAGGTTCTAGAATGTATAAAATCATGGCATCTTTTATGAAAATAAAGCTTAAGTCAATCTGCCTGTGTAATGAATAAGTAAAAAGAGTATCAAATTTATTTTTATCATTCTACAACCTGTGCCCAATCACTTTTACATCAAATAAAATTATTTCCAAAACCTCAAGCTTTAAGTGCAATTTGGAAACTAAATCAAACGATTTTATTGCTGTGACCCAAGTTTTAAACAACCTTTCATTAAACAAGTGTTAATGAAAGTTGAAATACCTAACAAACCACAATCAGCTAAGAATAGAACGAATAAATAATCAAATATGATGACACTAATCCCAAGAAGGCATTCCTTCTAAATCATATTGGAGCCAAACCACTGGCATAGATACAGCTAATATTTGTCCTTCAAATTCTGTAACTGCAAAAAACCCAATAACAGCATTTCACAAAGCAAAACAAAAACAAGTAACAAAACCAGAAAAGGTCTATTAAATTTCCTTTTAACAAACAGAAAAGATTACTTCAAATGATTCCCACATTAATAACTTTCTTTTGAGTTTTAGAAAACCTTTTTCCAAGAACATCAAAGAGCTTAGGATGAAGTGGGGGAGGAACTGGGAGAGTAGAGGTGTAGTGCTTGCTAAGTAATGGTTCATTTCTTAGTAAAACAGGATACCACAGATTTCTACTTAAACTATAAATGACTATGACTGTCAAAAATCCAAACCACTTCTAACGTACAACCTACTCCCACCTCTGCTTTTTCCTTATCCTTCAAATAAGATTCAAACAATTTCATTCTAACCTTGTTCCTATAAACCACAAGCCATTGTCTACCAAACCTCTGTCATTTTTTAAAATCTAAGTATCCTATTACTCTGTCATGTAAAAAGTCAGCTAATGCATCATTACTACCAAACCTTCCAAAGCTGAGCAGTGACTTCCAGGAATATGCTTCAGCTGTGTATATCCCAACAGACCTCAATGTTTTATACACTACTTGCAATGTACAGTCAGCTGTAGTCTGCTTCCATTTATTAGCTGCATTAAATATCCTGTGCAGTGTGTCCTTAAAAGGACAACACTGTTAACTAATTTTAAGCCACATATTTACACTACACTACCAGGAAATCACATCTAGCCTTATTATGTGATGAAGCTTATTTAACAAATATAGAAAAAATAAAATGTTTATTGATAAGCATCATTGAAAGAAATAGAGTATAACACATTTCAAATTAATAAGGGCAAAAGAAAATTAAACTACAATTTTCTAAAACTGGTTAACTAATGTTGATATTCTACTAGGAGCAAAGCCACCAAAAGGAGTGCTATCTAAAGCTTTATTTTTGGTTTCTACTCATGTACAGTGAACTACTGCAAACACTGGATATTAAGCCCAAAACAATTATAAGCACCAAGAGAACAGGAAAAGAAAAGAGCCAGCTAAGCATGAGAACTACCAGTCACCCATCCTTGTTATTATGCACTAATGCTGTGTAAAATGAAACATTAATGTTTTAGGTAAGCCTAAATTCTATGTACTAAATATATGTCAACTCTAAATGAAAACTGAAGCCAGCTTTACAAAATCAGTCTCTGATCTTATTTGCATCATAAAATTATAATCATTATGAGACAGAATTTACTAACAAAAGTCACTTTTCTATATTTTACCAAAACAAACAAACACAAAAAAGGATGATACTAACCCAACCCTGCCTTTTCATTTTCTATGCAAAGGCTTACAAAATAAAAAATAAATTACAGTTTTATTTCACTTTAGCTGAACCTCAATCAGGTTATTCACTTTTCAGAAATATTTTATATGTAATCTTTACAGACTAGATTTCCCCTTCTTAACATCAGAGAACACATCATTACCCCTGGGAGTTTTCCTTCAGTTAGTCAGCTAATCAGAAAGGCTCTTAGAAGCTTCAGATATTCAGCATTCTTTGGGGTTTGAGTTTATTTTCTTTCCTTCATCAGGATAAGGTTGGAGCTGGCAATGCTCATAGAGATTTTAGAACCACGTGGCCAGCCACTAGTCACTACCCTCTTTCTCCATCTTCTTTCTGCAGGCACGGCTATCAACTCTAGAAGACATTAATTAAACTATTTATACAAAAGTCCCCTTAATATTCATCATTGGTCTCACCCTTTACTAAAATTTCTTCGTTTCAGACATAGTAGACACTCAGGAAATATTTCTAGTCATAGTACTTGTAATTCAACTCAAAAAAAAAAAATGCATGAGGACTCTAGACTATTAGAAAGTTCAGGCCAGGCGCGGTGGCTCACTCCTGTAATCCCAGCATTTTGGGAGGCCAAGGCGGGCAGATCATAAGGTCAAGAGTTCGAGACCAGCCTGACCAACATGGTGAAACGCCATCTCTACTAATAATACACAAAAAATTAGCTGGGCGTGGTGGTGCGTGCCTGTA